CTATTCCAATCCTATAAGACAAGAAAGAGATGTAACTTTCCCCTCTAAAAATCCATCTCTGTGCCTAGTTTAGGATCAAATGAAAAAAGTCCAGCTCTTTAGTTTTGTTCTCAATGCTTCAGTTGTCTATCTTGCAGAGTAGGTTTTTCTCATGAAATTTGAATTAAAGTTGCTTTAGATGTCAGATGATCAGATAGCCTCAAAAATTCATGCACTTTTGATGGACCTGCCTTAAGATCTAGCCTAATTATTTGAGAAAAAGTATCTACATTAAACTAACTGCATATTGTTGTGGTTTGGGCCTATCACGACAACAAAGAACCAGCCCTGTGGCCACTCACTCAACTCCCACACACACACTGTGGGATGGGGAAGACAAAGGGCAGGGAGGGCTCTTCACTGGTTAAGGTCCTGGGCAAAACAGACTCAACTTGGGCAAAATAATAATTTCACACTAATCAAATGCAGACAGGACACAGACACACGGAGCAGGGCTTACATATGTTACCCCCACTCTTCCCTTTTTCCCTCGCCCAAATCCCTGCGTTCCCAGTTTCTCTCCCTCCTTCCCCCCAGCGGCACAGGGGGATGGGATGGGGTTTAGAGTCAGTTCACAGGCTGGTGGTTCCTGCTGCTCCTTCCTCCTGAGGAAGAAGGATTCCTTACAGTCCTGCCTTGCTTCCCCATGGGGTCCCTCCCATGGCAGAGAGTCCTCCACAAACCTCTCCTTGATTAATCCTTCCCACGAGGTCCAGAGCTGCTCCAGCCTGGGCTTCCCACAGAGTCATGGGCTCCTTCGGGAACAGCCACCTCCCCTGGCCCGGGGGCTTCCACAGCTGCATAATCCCAGTCCACCCATCCTGGCACCTTCAGGGAATGTTCCAGCACATTCCTCCATGAGTGCAGGGGCACAGCTGCCATCTTGCCACGGGTTGCAGGGAAACTTCTTGGGCACCTTCTTCCCCTTCTTCCTCACCAACTACAGAACTGTTCTTCCTCTCCAGACGTTTTTTTTTCTTCCTGCTTGCTCTGCTCAGATCTTGTATCAGTCCTTTTGTCTGTTAGTCAGAAAGGCACATCTATTGTCTCTCTAATGCTGGTTTTGGAGCTGGGGGAGCTTCTCAGCTTCTTACAGGAGCCACCTGTGGGGCCATCCTCCACTACCAAAAAACCCACCAAACCAAACCAGCACATGCATTAAGAACAGCAAAACACAACTCTTTTCTTTGTCTCAAGGCAAAATATTTGTACCTAATGGAAGCATAGAACTGGTCACACTGGTTGACCTCTTGATGAAGCCTCACAATTTAGGCCAAGAAAGAATCCTATTATTTGCATGAATATATGTGTATTTTAAGACTATGTTAGTGAGAGGTACAAGCTCAACATCTTCTTTCTCTGGAAAGCTTTATTCGGGCATTTTAAATCAAGCCTGTACAGCAACTGAGAATTATGAAAAAAGTTTTAGTGTGCTTTATGCTATCTAGAAATACATCAGTACCAAAGGTGATATCTAGAAAGCAAAAATATCAGATATATGTAATCTGAATTGCCATCTCCTAGAAAGGAGCTCTGGTGTTACATGATGGCAACTCAGCATGAGAGCTAATCCATGTGAGGCTAAAGTAGCTTTTACTCATAGCTGCACATTTCAATCTGCTTTATCATTCCTTGCTCTTCTCTGTCTGAAAATAGAGCCAGCCCTGTTGAATGCCAAATGTTTTTACAAGGAGCAAACGCAAAACTATGTAGGCAAAGCTAGAACTTGTCTCAATCGTGAGGGAAGCATTTAAGATGTGTCTATCAGCTCTGCCTTTTCCCAAAGAGATTCCAGGTTACTCCTTTAGGCACATATGTCTAGAGGGGGGGTCATCCAGCCTATTTGCATTGTACCAAATTCTCAAGCTAAATGACTATCAAATCCTGATTCTATGGGAAAATCTATAGCCATCCTGGGAAGTGTCTTCTGCTGTGATTTAGAGCTCCACAGTAACCCTTACATTAGCACTAAGGATGGATGTGGCACATTATGTCAAGAGATACAACAGAATGCAAGAAAAAAACACCTTAAGCCATCATCTAAAGTCCAAGCATTATCTACCAAGCTGGCTGACAGCAGCAGAGAGTGCAAGCTCTGCTAGCATGAAGGCTGCTAGAAAAAGAGTTGCATTTAACACACAAAAAGCCAAAAGCATGCTACCATTTGTAAAGCCATATTAATAGCTTCATACATAAGTCCCCATAGCAGTCCTCCTCCCCATGTAAAACATTACTGGGGAATCTGTATCTTTAGTGGCAGGAATTGATTTTAGTGGTTTGGAAAAGCACCATTACGACCCTCACATACATCACCTCTCCTTTGAAGGAGAACTGTGCACGTAGTGCACAGCAACAGGGTGTAACATATGACAGGTTTGCGTGTCATATGCAATGTGTATACACTCAAGATGGCAAAACTCATGATAAATTTTTGTAATCTTTCTCTTTTTATTCTTTTGGCATATAGATATTGTCACAATGTGCAATGTGGAAACAGCTTTGTAAGCAAGGCAGTCCTGGCTGCAGGGCAAACAAAAAAATACTGGGGTAAGAAGTTAGGCTGTGAAGGCACATTTTAAAGCACTGAAGATGCTGAGAGCTTGGCATCTGTGACTATGAAAATGTAAAGACAGGTTTAAGAGACTTATTTTAGAATACTGTTTTTTGAATTATTGTATTAAGAAAAAATAATTGAGGAAGATTAATAATCTGCATATACCAATCCTACATTAAGTCTCTTTACAAAGGTTAATTTTATTAGGTGAAATAATTCCGTGATGCAATTTAGTGAAATGAAACCAAAATGCATCCTATTTCATAGGGCATTTCCAGTCAATGTAAGTTACTACTAGTTTTACATTTAAATTTTAACATCTATCTTCAACTTTTTTGGCTCAAGACCTGTTCAGAAAAAATCACTAGTCTGAAATGGTATCTCTGATTTTACTGAAAACTTTCTGAACACAGTACCCTTCAGAAAAGAACATTTTTCATATAATCACAATATTTAGCCAGTGTGCCCTCATCAAATCCTATAAAATCAAATTATACTGAAAGAAAAACACACTCTCAAATAACAAAATGCCATGTGAGCCTTCATATGGCCAGATTATGAGTTGATGTTTTAAATAAAATATTAAATGCTTCACTTTAAGCCACAGTTACAGTTTATTTATGCAGTGGATAAACAGAGCAACCATACCATGCTAAGGTGCATTCAAAGATTTCTTTATGCAGGGTCTTCCCAAGTGGAAGATTGGTTTTTTGGTAAAGGCAAATGAAGTCTCCAGGCAGTATAATCCTGTAGTGAAGACATGAGGCTGGACTGGGACAGTTCAGCAGTGAACAGCTGAAGGCTGAACCCCTTATCCAGACCTGCTTCCATAAGGTATTTAAGAATTTGTAGGATTTTATGGATTTTTGTGAGTTTTGAATACTAAAGAGTATGGGAATTAGTCCCACATGTACATTATGAGTCAATGTTCCTGACCTTTATTACTATCAGCCAGTGTTGCTCTACTTACTTTGAAGTCACTGGAGTTTAGGACATGTTTTTCCATCCCCTGAAGAATTAGCTCAGTGCATGATTATAAGTGCAACCTTTCATATTTTGTTTGGCAAATATTTATGTGACTGGATTTTGCTTGAGGATTAGTTGTTCTTTATATAGATGCATGCTCCTCATGGAAACTAGGTTAACTCACCTACTGTTCTGTTTCTTGTTGACAAACAACCACTGCAATTTACAGAGAAATAATATAGGTAATTTCTTTACCTCCAGCAAGATAAAATTAAACTCCCAGTCTTCTGTTTCCCTATCCTCCTTTCTCTCTCACCTTTCTCTTCTATTTAACTTTCCTTCTCCACCTGCCTCCGTTTTTCCCAATTCTTCCCATCTTTCTTTCTTATACCATTCATGTTGTCTCCTGTTTTTTTCTCTTCTTTATTGTCTTTCTCCTCCTTACAAGGAAGTCACAGTCTGCTCTTATTCCCCAAACATGAAGAACAGGGGTTGTGAGTAAGAAACCACCACAGCTATTGCTTTCAGAAGGGACATACACAGATCACTCAGACTGCTCCTTCAGTTTGAAAGTTTGGGGTTTTTTTTTCCTTTCACACTGCTCTTTTATTCTTACAGGTTTCTGCTAAACAGCCATACAAATGGTTGACAGTAAAAATTAACCTCATTTCCTTCTTTGATGGCAGCTGGGGAGGTCCCAGGGTGAGCAAGTGCAGGACCAGATCTCAGCTTTAGGGATGCTGGGGGAGCTCAGGGAGGAGGCTGGGCTCCAGGACCCTCTACAGTTCTGAATAAAGGGGGATAAAAAAGCCAAAAGAGCAATCCAGTGAGAACTATGAATTTTGTGAAATGGGTTTCCATGCTCTTACCAAAGCAATGGGTAAGTCTGCTTCTTCCTGGCTTCAGGGTCTGTGGGCATAAGCCATCTTTCAGAGGCAGCACTCATGCCTGGGTCTTCAGAAGTATCCAGGCTTTCTTAGAGGAGGAGCTGGACTGGAAGATTAACTCAACAGCATTTGTAATTAAAGTTAGATGTTATGATGAACACCAAATATGATCCTTAGCTTACAGTTGAGAAAAAAATGGAGAAGAAAACCAGAACAGAACAGTTTCCTAATGTTTACTTTGTATATGTGATAGCACTTTCTGTATAAACATAGTCAGTACTTTTCTGTGAAGCCAAGGAACTGTGGGTTGCTTAGAGCAAGGCAGGTGGAAATATGCAATATGGAGTGTGTAACCGAAGCAGTGAACAGATGTGTCTCTTAGCACACATCAGCAAAATCAGCCTGGCAGCTTCTATGGCATAGAGCAGCTGGAAGACAAGAACTTCTGATGATCTGGCTAGGAACTGGATACATAACACCAGTATGTCTGGTTTATGTCATGGTCCTTTTTTTTTTTGTGTGTGTGTGTAGTAGAGTCGAAGCAGAAGAAAAACCCATTTCAATGATGTCAACAGAATGTGTTCAGCCACTTGATATCCCAGAAGACAGACTGGACAAGCGAGATTCACACTGTAACCCTTTAGGTAAGTGTTATTAGATTATGTCACTGCAGTAATTAGAGAGGTGCTGTCTGCACATCATTAAGTTCTGTCCAGTGACTATTTTTCCCCACCAGCGACACAACTGAGCCCTCATGAAACCTGATAGTTTGCACCTTCTGCTGACACTCCTGACGCCAGATGGAAAGGCAAAGAGAGTTTTTCCTGCATATAAATATTAGCCAAAGCTCTAGAGCACAGTTAATTACAGAGGAGAAAGGAAAAAGAATAATGGTTCTTTTTTCCTGATTTAAAAAGTAAAGCAGTTTCTTCATTTATAACACAATGAACTGAAAGCTAGGAGCTGAGCCTTCCCTGAATACATTTTCCATATGCAATTTTAGTAAAATAATGTGAAAAGAATTCAAACTGCCCCTTTGCCTTCACTGGGACAGCTTTCTAAATGCTCTTTCTCCTTCATCATCAATCTGTTTCTTCTCTTGAACCTACATAACTTTTGCACTGAGAGTACCAGAGGCATCCGCCACAGTCCTAAATACCAGACTTCATACTTGATAGATGTTCTTTTTGCATATTCATGGTCTTTGTCTCTACTTCAAATGCTGTTGCTTCACTCCTGCCTTGCAAAATTGTCATGAAGATTTAGCAACCCAGAAACAAAAATTTATTTCCTTGTTATTACCCTTGTGGTGACAATAATGACACACAAAAGCAGTTTCATTTGCTCATCAAAAGTGTCTCATTGCAGGCAAGCATAATTTTATAAACTTTATTTATCTGGCCTGCAAGGAGGGTATCCTAGTTCTGCTTCTACCATACAGCATTTCTAGCCACAGGCATCACTTTTACAACTGCTGGCTTACCAAACATAACTGTCACCTAAAATTGCTTATTTAAATAATTACAGAATGAGTCCCATTCTGCAGTCAGGAAATGGAGGCAATGGGAGGTTAAATGAGCTCATTAAGACCATGCAGGAAGCCTGTGAGGGCCAGGAGAAGACACTACATCCTCTAGGGACTTCACCCGAAGGTCATTCCTCCCATGTCTACCCATAGGTTCACAGACGTACAGCTGCCTGAAACACTGTGTGAGAGCCTAGAATTAAGTCCAGTTGCACCCAAGTCTGCAGTCAGAGTTTGGGTAGAAGTGTGGGGGACCAAGCTGAAGCCAAACAAGCAGCTTTTAAGAAATCAGAGAATTAGTTTGCATGATGATACTAATGACAGGCCAGATTCAACATTTTTGGCTTGCATAAGCACCCAGAAACGCATATTGTTGCAGAAAATCCATGCTGACGATCTGAATCATCCGAGTCAAGGCTTGCTTGGAGAGAAACCCAAAAATCCAGTGTCATCTTGTGTAAATCAAAAGTGAACACCAGTTGCTCAGTGGCTCTGGAAAGAAAGCCAACTCTTGAAGGGAACAATATACTGGCTCAGTTTACCAACCCCTGAGGCTGACCCCACACATGTAAATCTTTCCTTCACAAAAGTGCCCTTGTAACTCTTGAAGACACAGCCTGCACAGTTAACGCTGGAGGAAACAGACATGGCTGTGGGACCTCTGCACGGGATGGTGCAGCCTTCCTTCTGCCACGTGGCACACAGCTGCCCACAGCTACTTCAGCTATGCTTTATGTCTGCCACCTACAACACACAAGGACTACCTAAGCCACTTGACTCCCATGTAGTGTGACACAGAAGCCTCTTGTACTGACTTTCTATTTAAGAGATATTTCTCCAGAGGCATTTTAATTTACTCAGATGAAAGCAGTATTAAAGCTTTTCTTTCCACCATCTGGTTTATTACTTCCCCTCAGCTTCAATGTCTATGCATTTTTTTCCCCCTGCAGAAGATCTGTCAGATCAGCTGATTAAGAGCTGTGACCTCAAAAAGAAGCCAAGAAAAGGTAAAGCCATCCCAGCCTCTCAAAACACTGAACAGGAGCAAAAAAAGCCAAGAAGAAAAGATACACCAGCTTGGCACACCCCACCACCTTTAACGGGTGAGCAATACATCTCTTGACTTAAAAATCCCAGTTCAGCTGAGGGTACTGAATCTGGGCAAAGGTCCAGAGACCCCTCATTCACTTATGGCAAGCAAGAAAGCAGCTCCTCACCAAGTGCACCTGGGAAGGCAGTCAGAGAGGTTGAGTTTCTCAAAAGCATTCTGTGTTAGGTGAAGGGTTTTCAAATGGTGTCTGGGACTAAGAGGGTGAGTTGGCATGTGCTCTAGAAAATGTGCTCTCTTGGAGCTCATATTCTTGCTGCCTTCATGCGATAAATGAATGTGTACTTATCTCTAGCTGCTGAGCTGTGCTAGACATTCTGATTTGATCTGGTCCAAAATCAAAAAGGATCAGGTTCAGCCCCTGTACTTTCTTGTGAAACTCGTACTCCATCCTCAGTGCAAGGTTGCACAGAGAGAAGGCTGGGAGGAGATCACAGGAGCACATGAGACAGCTGCATGTTGCTCCTTCAGGAAATTGCAGGGCTCTTCAGCTTGTGGGAACTCTGGCAAAGGGTGGTTGGTTCAGGAAGCCAGAAACCACAGCAGCAACAAAGGGCTCCTTGTAGGATGCTGCCTGCTGCTGCATATCTACAGACCTCTGCAGTTCAGGAGCCAAATGCCACCAACCTGGGGAAGGGAAGAATAAGCAGGACACTGCCACTGAAACCTGACCTGATGAAACCAGCAGC